AGTGGACAACTGAAGTCAAAGGCATTTCTGGGAAGAAACCACAGATCTGAGTCACTTACAAGGCCAGCACAATCAGATGGCAACACATGGCAGCAGGAACACTTGTGTTGTTAGTAGAAGCCACGTCGCCAAGACAAACAATTCTCTGGAACCAGATGTCATAAGAATTTTTCCAAGAAACTAGATTGTATCAAGAAAATCAAGTAAAATATGCATTTCCATTCACAAAGTGCATATCGCGCCATGAGACGTCAAGTAAAGACGGAAGGGAACCTTCATAATTAGCGGATTCCCTTCCTCTCTTCTGTCTGATGGTTAATGCTTAGAATTGATAAGTAACTAGGTGTCCACGCACAAGGGGTAAATGCTCAAGGCTTGTTTCCCGATGGTGTGTTTATGGAAAAGCATTAGGGACCGAGGCCTAGACTAAGTTCTGTCCAACACCAGCTCAGGAGGCCAGCGCAGAGCATGCCTCATGCTTCACTCCGTACAGCAGGTTCAATGCATGGCTAAATGATTAAACTCATGACTTCACTATAAAATAGACTTCTTATTCATGTTTCTGAAAAATTCTGGCAGTAAAGTGCCATACAATCTATAAAACTATGCTTGGTTCTAAATTGCTCATTTGTGATGTGGGGCTAGGCCCCAGATTGGTTTTTAGTAATATTTCAAACAGCTCCTATTGTTTTAGGAACCCGAGCCATGTCAGAGGCCATCTGGAAGGCGTCTGCCTGTTCTCCTCTCTCCCTTTAACGTTAAAGGTACAAGGAAAATAGGAGAGAGTTTTACCTGGGCACACAAAAGCCATGTTTTACAGGGCAGTCCTCTCAAATGACTGTTCATAGACATGATTTTCAGGAATCCACTTTCAACTACTAAACCTATATGAGCCTGCAGTTAAATTAGCATTATAGAGGACAAAAGAATGTTAAGTGGTCTTCAGAATTAAAAGCAAGGGTTTGTCAGCCTGAAGGAGGATCAGCTGAAATGATATCCTATCTACAAATGTTGTTTGAAGAGGAGACATTAAAATGAAAGAGGTGAAAAAAACAGGAAGGAGAGAGGCAGTCATTTCTTTTTAATCCAAGCTTCATCCCTAGTAGAGAATTTCATTACGGTGGACATTTTGAATATTGGATCAGAACTGATGCTATGTCTAAGGTATGTACAATGGCATATAAACAATGACTGATTAACCATTGTGTAGAATTCATCTCATCGCCTAACTCTACGCCTTTTTTTTTTTTTAAAAGGAAGAAACTCTTATTCACATAGTAATTCGGGTCAGAAGTTCTGTTCCACAAAGGTTAACTCAATGTAAAATCTTCTAAGCAAAAGCCAAAAATAGGTTGACAGGTTCATGAAGCTTGCCCGGGTCTGACCTCAGAACAGACACGTCTACTCTCAGGCAGGCTCAAGCCCTTCTTTTTCTGGTGTGCACCTGAGCAGTGGGAGCCGGCCATGAAAAATTCATGCAGGATGCTTCAACAGTCCCACCTATGTCCTTAACATCTGCTGGCTTCACATCACATTAAAACTTCAAAGTGGATCCACCCCTGGGATGGCAGCAAGCTTTCACCGGGGCAGCGGGGTGGAGAGTTCAGAGAAGTCCTCTCCTTCCCTACAGGAATAGTGGTGCAGAACATGCTGGAATTTATCTTCTTAACCATGCAAAAGGGGAGAAATGTTAAGAGATAATCATGCCGTCTACTAAATATGCACAAAACAGCAGGCGGTACCATTGTGGGACTGCATCTCACTTCTAACAGTCATGCTTTTTAAAAAATATATAATATTTAAATCCAAAACCTCTTTATCTTTTGCTTCCCATAAGCTTCAGGTGGAGCCACAGTATCTAGCAATTGAAAAGGGGTGATGTTTTTGAACTCTCAAGTACAAGGTTGTTGATGAAAATGGATTACTTCCTCCTGTTAGCTGGGTGACAGCGCATCACTTATTTAGATGTTTTGAGACACAGCTAGACCTGGTTGCCGCTGCACTCTGACACGGTGCTGTCCTCAAGGAAGGAACGGATTATTACCACAACAGCAAACAAGAGGCGGGGCTGTGTGACACTCTGATTTTAAACTAATCACAGCACAATCCACCAGGAATTTAATTGCCAGCACCCGATCACCCCCATGGTGTCACTACATAATGGTTCCCTGCTTTATTCTCCCGACAGCAAGAAAAAAATGTGTCTTTGTTAAATGATAATTGGCTGTAATATCTTTTGATTTTTCAGAAATCCTGGCTGGAAAGTTTTCACAAATTTTCCTCAATCTTGTGTGGTGTTTCCACAAAAGCCTACATCAGAAGAAAAAGATATCTAAGTCTGCAGAACACTCTATCTTACTCCCAGTATCAATAGGTCTCGAGAAGATCTAATTTCATAACAAATCTGGTAAGGAGACGCACCCTCCAGTACTCCACAAACTCACCAGGAGCAAGGTGGCCAGGACCTCAACTGCAGTGTTCACTGCTTAGAGCACTCACTGAATTCCAGAAGGAAGCACAGTTTAAACAATTCTGGGGGATTCTGCAGATTAATCAAGACTTCTGACTTTTAGAGGTTTTCAAAATAAAACTTTTAGCAAAAAAAAAAAAAAAAAAAAAGAAGAAGAAGAAGAAGCATAATTGGTTGCCGTTTAACATTTAGCTAAATCCCATATGTCAACAGGAAGGTTCTCCTAAGAATTAAAATAAGGCAGTTTCCTCAACCTCCTTACTTCTCCCATTTCACCTGGCCCTCATAAAAAGCAAATAATTCATAAAGGCACAAAATGTAGGTTTTCTCCTAAGATTTAAAATAAGTCTGTATCATTAACTGCCTTGTATCTCACTTTTTACACATTTTTACCTGGTGCCAATGAAAAGTTAAAAATGTACATACAAAGGAACAAAATGCAAGCCAGTTAATTATAATATTTATGAGCAGCTTTCAATATACTTTTTGGTCAGGGTAGAAACTGAAATTACTGAAAAAAAAATTTACATATTCCAATTATCTAACACCATGGTATTATGTTAGTACAGCAGTGTGCAAATTCACTCTACTTGCTTTCTTTTCAGCTGGCCCTTATAGAGTAGGCAGGTAGGCAAGGACAGGGTAAGGACTGTTTAATAACTTTGTGATGTTAACCAGAGTTTCTGTGGAATAATTTTTTTCCCTCTTCTACCAGAGGAAGGCCAACTTCCTTGTTTCTGACGCAGAATTTCACCCCCTTTGACTCATTATTATCCTGGTAGTTATATTACAATTGAGTACAGAATCATATTTGCGAAACAAGATAAATGGCTCTACTTATAAAGTTTGGAATCATTAAAATAATAACAATTTATTTGAAAACACAATTACCAGTCTTTATCATCACCCTTGGGAAAAAATCTCAATAAATCATCCTCATTTCTACTGTAATTCCTGATGCAGACAGTCCTTTACATCGCAGTACAGCATGCACTGGATTTTGTGAACCCCACACCTAATCCATGTGCATCATTCTCCATGGCATCACAAAGACCCCATTCATCCTAAATCTGTACTGAGTCTACATTCTGGAGAGCAAGATTCAGTTCCTCAAATTAAGGAGCTCAAGGCAGGATGACAACACATCATGGCCACTTGGGACCAATTAGGCAGGCATCTGAGACTCTACTCAGTTAACTCCCACAGATGCCTGCACCCAGAGTTTGCTACAAAGATTCACCCAGGAAATTCTACTGGGCCTAAGGCAATTGTACCCCTCGAGGGCCATGTGAGGCAAATACTCACTCCATCTCACATACTTTTTTTTTATGAGACAGAGTTTCATTCTTTTTGCCCAGGCTGGAGTATAATGGTGTGACCTCAGCTCACTGCAACCTCCGCCTCCTGGTTTCAAGCGACTCTCCTGCCTCAGCCTCCTGAGTAGCTGGGATTACAGGTGCGCACCACCATGCCTGGCTAATTTTGCATTTTTAGGAGAGACAGGGCTTCACCATGTTGGCCAGGCTGGTCTTGAACTCCTGACCTCAAGTAATCTGCCTGCCTTGGCCTCCCAAATTGCTGGGATCACAGGTGTGAGCTACTGCGCCTAGCCCCACATACTTTTCAAACCACCTGCAGGGGGAAACCATTCCTTCAAGATAATTTTTAAAAAGATAAAATCCACTACTATACAAACAAATCAATATAATTCACTCATATGATATGATCATAATAATCTGAAATTTACCATCCACCATGACTAGTTTCAACCCTATTTTCTCAACCGCATGACAACTTCATTTCATACCATGAAGCTTCATGCTGCAAACATTTGATGACAAGCCTTCTGACATGGATGTCTGAATCTAGTTTAGTTCGGAGTTCCTGCTTTGGGTGATTTTCCCTTCTTTAGCAATTAACTCTTGCTGGAAGAATTTAAAGGCCAAACATGTAAAACTAAGTTTCCTCAAACTAAAGTCCCCTCAGATAAAATCTACAAATACCCATGATTTGTGTGCATTCTCTTCAAGAATCAGGCTTTTAGTTAAATTAGGTGGAAAAAATGATCAACTGATTATGCTTAAATACTCTAATTTTGGTACAACTTAATATGTAGAATTTCTCAAGGATTATCTTGTTAGATTAAAAGAATACAATCTATACCTAATCTAGTCCTGATTTAGGTTCATAGATACAATTCATTTAAATTGAAAGGTTTTTTTTTGCTGTTGTTAGGAACAATATGCATTGACTGTGTATAAAAAGCAAATACTTTTTCTTTTTTAATTCCCAAAACAAATAAGATCTGGCATTCAGAAGTATCAGTTAGATTCACATTTTTCTGCATGTCATTTTGAAGAAAGAAAAAGCTCTAAAGCTCTCCAAACTATTGGCATTGGATCAACATTAAACCATAACTACTACACTAGAGAGATACAATTTATTGCAAAATGTCCCGTCAGACAGTGGTTATTAATTAAAGCAAGATTTTATTGCTTTCAGAATTATGATTTGGGATTTCAAAACTCACTTGCTATGCTCAAATGAATGAATGGGCTTGTCTTGTTTTCTCCATTCTTCTCATTCACGGCCTGCACGTAGTATGCCCCGGCGTCACTGGCTGTCGTGGCCAGGATCACCAGCTGATTCTCCAACGTGATGGCTCTGTTTCAGAAAAGAAGAGGACAGCGTCAAAGCTACTCCAGGGAACTTACTTGTAAGACACAATTAATTAGGTCAACGATAAAGGAATGCCTAGAGTTTAAAAGAAGAGCTGGAAGGACAAAAACAATACACAGGCTGACTTCAAGAATACGACAATGGCAGAGAGAGTCTCTTCTGGTCCAGCTAGCACCCTGCAGCCCCAGTGTCCGAGCCTACCGGGTGCTCCACATCTGCGCCAGCACTTGACTGTGAAGAAGAAAAATGTTCTGGAACACAGACATCCAGAGTTCATTAAAACTCAGAGGTTCTTCCTCTGAGAATGTATAACACCACCAGTTAGAAGGAATCCCTTCAATTAGAAGGCTGGACCACCACAACCCTGACCCAGGGCAAGTGAATTAGCTGTGGTTTTCTCCACCTCAGGGGAGCCTCATCAGAGGCTTTGTGTATGGATACCTACACTGGTGCATAGAAGGAAAGTTGCCAATGGGCACAGTGCTGCCCCCCTTCAACTTAAATTCTCCCATCATTATTAACTCCAGGCCACGTCTTTTTCACCTGTATTATCTCCCCATGTCTTAGAAGTGCAAAGGACGAGTAAATAGTCTCCTTGATCGTGACCAAGATCTTCTCATTCGTCCTGATTCTAGTGGGAAAGGCATCTCTGAGACTCGTTTAATGCACCTGCCCTTTCTCTGAGCCACTGAGGCTCACAGAAATTAAGCTGCTTGTCCTAGGTAACACAGCAACTTAACAGCAGAGAAGGGACTAGGTCTTTTCCCAATCAGATTAATACTCATCCGATCACACCATAGAAAGACTCTCATTATACTACTTAATTTTTAAAAAAGAATAAAAACAATACAGACACAACTTCCATGCATCCAAGGAACTTTTATTTGAAATGGGTGTCTTATGGTATCCTTCCCTTATAATTCTGTATTATTTTTGCCAGTTAAAGAGGTGGATGAGGGAGGTAAAATTTGCTTAAAAAAAATACGGGCTGAGCACGGTGGCTCACGACTGTAATCCCAGCACTTTGGGAGGGTGAGGTGGGCAGATCACGAGGTCAAGAGATCGAGACCATCCTGGCCAACGTGGTGAAACCTCATCTCTACTGAAAATACAAAAATTAGTTAGGTGTGGTGGCACGTGCCTGTAGTCCCAGCTACTAGGGAGGCTGAGGCAGGAGAATCACTTGAACCTGGGGGGCAGAGGTTGCAGTGATCCAAGATCATACCACACCACCGCACTCCAGTCTGGTGATAGAGCGAGACTCCGTCTCAAAAAAAAAATATATATATATATATATATGTATGTATGAATGTGAGTAAACTATTCATTGGCTGGTGAATTTGGCTTAGAAGGTAAGATGCATTTTGAGCACCAAATATCATTTAGTCTAAGCTCTTTTTTCAAAAACAAGAGAAACATCTTGGGACTCCAGAGTGAGTTGTGTAACCCACAATTGCGTTACTCTATAGGGAATAGTTACAGCACTTTCAGATTCAGATCCTCTAAAATCTTTCTTCTGGTAACATTAAAATCGTGCAAAAAGAGTAACCTCTCATGAGGAATTTTAGCATTATAATCATCCTTTTTCTTCCTGCTACCTTTTGCAGAGCTTTTTCAAAAACTCTTGATTTTTATACATTATATAAAATTATCTTAAGAAGTTATTGCTTATTCAGGGTTCCCATAGGATATATTACTGTTTGAGGTCTCTATGACTAACTTACTTCATGTCTCATTTATGAAAATTTCTCTATTAGGAAGTTTTCAATTTTTAGTCCCATAAAAATATTCAAAAGAGTTTTATTATAATTATTTATGGCTCCTTTATAGATTCTTTTATAGAACCATAGAAATTGTTCCATTTTATTTTAGTATATGTTATACTGGCAGCTAAAATTAAATATGAATATTTACTACACATGAAGTTACATATTTAGTAGTACAATTTAAAAACTGAATAAATAACGTTTTCTTTAACATCTGATTTTTACCATAGTAATTTCAAATATGCCTATTGTTTCTCAGAATTATCCTTATAAAATGACCATGAATTCTCGATATTATTTATGGCATTATTTTCAAGAGTATTGAAAATTTAAAAAGTACATAAAAATAAAAATATTAAAGTTTCCATCTATTATAACTTTTATCTTTAGGCTTATCTTTTTCTTTTAGTTTTTAATTTCTATACAGGTTTAAGTCAAAATTCATGAAAAAAAAAACTGCTGCTGCCAGAAAGACACCATGAAAATGCTACATCTTTGGAGAACGTGAAGATTAATTTCCCAGAAACCAAGTGTTTGTTCCTATCCAAATCTTTCTGAACAGAGCATTTCTACAAGAGACTGACTTTTTAAATGAAAATAAAGCATCTAAAACCATTCATCTTAATTTTAAATTCTGATAACTGCTGTAAACCTTAAGAAGAAACCCATGTTTAAAGACAGTAAAGCAGGTATCGTGCACCCATTCTGTCTTCTTTCTTAGCGGCCTTGATTTTGTTGTGGCAACCATGGCTTCCCCCTGCAATCCAGACACGCAACATGAGAGAGCCGGCCCCATTCCCAGTATCAGGTGTGGGTCTTGATCATTTTGTCCCCACGTGTTCCTGGTGGTGATTTCATGGCTACGAGAGAAACGACCTTCGCATGAAGCTGATAATGGTGATGGCAGAACAGAGAGAATGGAAAGCACTTGGGTCCTTCACGACCTCATAGAGCCAATGAACCAACCATCCAGCAGCCTGTCCTGTCTGGGGACTTCCTGGTTCATGAGGTCAGATACTTCCTGTTTAACCTTGGTAAGCTAGTACAGATTCACAACAGCACATGCAATAACATCTTTTTTGGATTTTTTTACGTGTGTGTTCTATGCACTGCAAATAAATCCTGCGTATCTGTTTCTACATATGTGTGTACACATAAAATGTTATCAGTGGTTAGTCCGAGCAGTACAATTACAGGCTATTTTCTTTTGATTCTACCTTTTAAAATATTTTCCAATTTTTCCACAATAAATATCACTTTTGCTATCAGAAGGTAATGAAAAGAACACAGGGGCCTGCTAGGTAACTGTGATAGCAAAGTTGAATACTTTGCTCATAATATGAATTACTTGGCTTTATTATAACATAACTCCAGATTACACATTTAAAACTTACACTGACTTCATAGAAAAATTATAATATTTGGCCTGAGAGATTTTCCTTTAACTTGATTGAAACAAATATATGTGTGGCTTTAAATAAAATTACTTCCTTAGTCTTCTTCCATCTTTGTACATTTAAAAATGAAACCTCATCATTGTAACTCCTAATTCCATGGGATAGTAGTAAAGAGAAGAGGGACAAAAATGACTGAGTGCAATATGGGTGAGATGAGCTGCCGCTCAGGAGAAGACACTGCTGCATCATGAAGAACAAGCTAACCGGTCCTGAGGTACTAATTATAAGCACAGGAAGGGTTTTCACAAGAGAGAAACCAATCTGCTGTTTTTTGTTGCTGAGACTGATGAGCAAAGTACCTGTGCAGTTCAGCAAAGGAAGACCATTTCCAGTGGGCACTTGCTAAGTGCTTCTGGCCATTCTTCACTTGATTCTCCAACACTCTCCTGAGGTACTGGGCAAAATCATAGTTCTCTATTTTAGAAAAGATGAAATCCGAGGAAGAGAGGAGCTAGCTGGGGTCTCCGACCACGAGCATTGAGGTAGATAGCTAGACCCACCCCTTGGGCATGGGGGAGGGAGGGCCGCCTTGCTGGGCCTCAACTGGGAAGCTCCCTGACATGCTTGCATGGCGAGGGGTTGTGGCCTTCCCCACGCCACAGCAGATCAGCTGCCTTCAGGGAGGTGATACTGACATCGGAATCCTAGAATAGGTGCCTGAAGACCAGGAAGGAAGAGTAAGGGTATGCATTGACCCTGATCACCACTGGAGCAGAATTAAATAGCTGTTTCACTATTTAATCAGCCACTATTGGAAACCCCACTCCCTGCTCAGAGTGGAAGAGACACTAACCTGAACCAGGACACACTGTTCATGCCCCATGCAACTTAGATAGGATGTACTTAGAAGCTGTAAGAAGTAACAGGGGGCACTTCAACAACTTCCCCTTAAGAGTATCTGTGGGCCCAAGGAGAGGAGTTCCAGGAGGTGTCCAGAAATATTTTCATGATGTGAATATTTTCATGATGTGCTCCCAAAGCTTGCGATGTAACCAATGCTTTGGCTTCCGTGAAAATATAAATTGTCTTTGGTTATCAACAAATATTTTGCTCTTTAACACTTACCATGAACCAGGGTGGTAATATCCAGGTCAATGTATACATTATGATGAAAATTCAGTAAAATGTTTAGTGAAATAACTTTGCCCATAAAACATAGAAGCATAATTTGAGTCCATAGTTTGACCACTACAAATGTTAAAGTAACATTTGACTAGTTTCAAATGACCTTCAAGTACATTAACAGAAGGTCAGTGTGCAGGAAGATGCAGAATATTAGTATGTAAAATCTTAAAAAGAAAAAACACTTAAAAATATTTTCCATTTTAATTAAGCAACTTTTAAAAGGGTTGATTCTAAGGCTTAGTGTTCTGAGTATAATCTGGATCTCATGCCTCACAGTTTAAGCAAGTTCAAGGCAGACAACTTTGAAACTGATGAACTTTCCTTAGCTGTATAACAACAAGAACTACAATTGCTTTCAAGTCCTTTTGGCACTAATGAGTCCCAGAAGGCTGAATACATGTTAAGCTGACAGAGTGACATGTTTATTCCATCAAGAGCCAACACTTGCTGTTGACCGTTTGCTCTGGGTGTAGGAAAAATATTTTAAAAGCCAGAGAAGAGAGAATTTAGGAAACCTGTTTCTTATAATTTCAAACCAATAGAAACCACTAGTTGAGTTCTGTTCATTAATAGAACGCATGAATCCCTAGCACAGACCAAGAAGTCCTGGACAAATGGGATTGCAGCTCAGCACAGC